CTACCTGTCATTCCCGGCAATCCATCTGGTCCTGGAGGTCCTGCAAAGCCTTTAAGTCCCATTTCACCAGCAAGCCCCGGCATGCCCCTAGGCCCCGCGACACCCTCAGGTCCCTGTGGTCCCTGTGGTCCCGTGGATCCCATTGGCCCAACTTGGCCTATTTCTCCTATCTCCCCTTTTCTTCCTTGCTGGCCACGTGAGCCTGGCTTTCCCCTAGGCCCCTGCGGGCCTGGCTCCCCTGGGCCACCTTGGAGACCCGGTTGTCCATGATCTCCTTGATCCCCCGGCTCCCCAGACTTTCCCCGAGGCCCCTCCTCACCTGGTGGACCGTTCTCGCCTTTCTCGCCAGGTGTGCCAACATCTCCTTTATTCCCTTTTAAACCCATGATTCCGGGCTCTCCAGGGGAGCCATCAAAGCCCTAAAAGAGAAAAAATGAACTTTTTAAAATGATTTGCCTTGGTGTCCTTAGGATATAAAATAGGAAAGACTAGCAAAAAAAATAAATTTTTTATTTACCATAAAGAAAAGCTGAGTTGCGTAAAATCCTCTATTACCTTTAGGACATCAACTTTTCCTTTTAAAGTAAATACTGTCCCGACGAGAATAATAAATTGGCATCACTGGAAACTAAAGGCGATTTATCTGAGAGTAGTGAATGTTGTTTTGTGCAAATAAGTCTAATGAGATGTATTAACCTTATTACGTTTGAGGTGATGAAAAACGGGTAGTAGAATTTTCCCACAATGATATGAGTAATCTGACGTCTCCATTAAATTTCACAGAGCCTTGCTTTCCCAAAAGTTGTTATCATCAAGGGTGGACGGGAGTGGTTAACGTGTCAAGCTCACATTCTGCACTGTCACGGTTCGACTCCCGCTGGTGTGTTGATAAGACTGATGCGAGGTCGAAACTGCAGTCCACCCCGTATGAAAACAACTTTTGGGAAAGCAAAGCTCTGTGAAATTCAATGGAAATGTCAGCTCTACTCATATCATTGTGGTAAAATTCTACCACCAGTCTCCTTCATCACCTCAAACGAAATAGGGTGAATACATCTTATATTAATGATTTACTGCTAGTCTAGAAACTATACTTACATACGAAAAACAAATAAGTCTTGGCGCAACGTCATGCGTCTGAATTTAGCAGTACTAATGAGGCAACTCATCATTTGTTTTACCCCTTCCTTCTCCCTCTTGCTGGCTTGACGATGTAAGGAGTTGAGGTGGATGTGAATAAAGCATCGGTTTCCTTAAATAAATTATCTTTAGTGTGATTATACACTGCTAATGCGTATTCTGATGTGCGGTTGCCTTTTATCTACTGAAATCTGAGAATTTTAAACTGATCCAGATTAATCAAGAATTTTCATACTCGGTTATTGATCCTGTCACATTCCCCTAATCTCATTCAATAGCCAAAGATAATTTTCGCTTTATTTCCCACATTCATAATTCGTATTCAAAACTTCAGCCGATTCTTTAATTTCTCTTCACTCCCTAAGATCACACATATAAGTAAAATCTTCATACTCTGCAAATATTTGTATTTTTGATAATTCTATTTGTTTTTCTATATTTGCCATTTGTTCCAGTAATTGGGAATCATATACACAAAAATGTTAGGCTGCTTTATGCTGAGATAAGTTCTTCGGTATGGGTCAGCAGATTGTCCCAATATATACACTACTACATGAGCACTAAACCTTGTATTATCCTGTATAAAATATTCATTCAGCCCGTTTCGCTTATTGTTAGGAAGGACTGGCTGGGAACTTGCATTGACTTTCATATAGCTTTGCTTCAAAAAGTTGTTCTCATCCATAAGGGATGCTAATTTTGACCTCGCCTAAGTCTCATCCGTTCCCTCAGCTCGACTTTAACTAGGGTGGCGTAGCGTGTAGCCTCGGCACATTAACCAATACGTCACGCGGCAATAATTTTCTTTGGATCACAGGGCAGAATAGGATTTCAAGGAAGCATAGGCTTTTTCCTAAGCCCATGTTTGTGGTGGGGTGATATTAACCAACTACCTTACTTATTTTTAATTTATAATTAGTTATTTAAAACTACCAGTAAATCTGATACGAGAGATTCATTGCCTCTATTTCGTTTAAGGTGATGAAGGGCAAATAGCGTCGAAAGCCTACTTATAAACTGAAGATTAGTATTTCTAGATATGAAGACCAAGATGTTGTGGCCTCTGCTTTGTTCACAATCTCCTTTCGAGGTTTAGACGTAATC